GGCGTGAACACGCCCATGTTGGACTCCAATGTGCGGAGCTCTGCGGCTGCGCTTTTGGATCGGACTGGTGCCACAACACGACGGCACGATACACCCCCTCCATCGTCTGCACTTAATTGCTCTGTCCGTCCTCGTGACTTCCGTCCCTTTGGATTCTTGCGCGCATGTTCCGCGCATCCCTCAGTTGAAAGTCTTCCCTCGCTCAACTGTTCCCTTCGATGCAGTTCGAGCAAGCAGAGACTGCTCATGGTCCGTCGTGGCCGGCTTCTCGACACTCCGCAGTGTATCACCGCAGCAACTCGAATGCAAGAATAGCATGAGTCCGCTCGACTCAGCTCCCCCCAAATATTGTATTGACTTGACGATTTTTGGATTTTCTTTGGCGTCTCGCCATAACCGTCGTTGAATACGCCAGAAAATGTATCTTTTCCGGTCACATCCGTACCGTGTCCGAAAGCCAACTCTAGCACCTGTGGAATTACATTCGTAAAACAATTCAGATCTTACAAAAACACAGTTCCATAACTCCTCAAACAGGATAAACCTTTAATCTTCAGCAATTCTGAAAACAATCAAATAAATTCAGATCATGGTAGCACCTGAAGTTCCGGCTACACAAAAACGGCTTGCCGCCTTCGCTCAGAAGGAATCGCTCCTCAGTGGCAACAGGTCGATTAGGACAAAATTGCCATTGCGGTTCCAGGTTGAAGGCAAAAGATGAGCAGCTCCGCGCCCACCAGCGCCACCAGCTCCTGGCACAAGCGCGTGGGGCGTCAAAAGCAACAGGCCAACAGCAAGCTGGGCTCGTGGTTCGTGAGCAAATTCGCGAGCAAGAACAAGCTGCTGCGCGAGCACGACGAGGAGACGGCACAGAATCAGCGGCGTCGGCCGGTCGGTACGCTCAGCGCCGTGACAAACCAGCAGCAGGCGAACGCTGCGCGGCGCGAGGAGCTCAGCCGCAACAAGCCTGTGCGCCAGAAGAGCTTCCTGCGCCAGCAGCTACAGGAAATGAAGCGGCAGTCGGCCGAGGCGTTGCAACGCGCCCAGAAGCGGATGGATGGGGAGATAGTCGAGGTAGATGAAGACGATCTTGAAGAGAAATCATCTTCCGATGAGGAGGAAGGGCTCCACGTGGTCGACGACCCGGAGGACGCTCTGCGTGGCAGTCTAAGCAGCAACCCGGCGTCGTCTAGGAGGTCCAGCACCTGCTCGCGACGCCGCAGTGCTGCCGAGGAACAACAGGAACGCGAGGATGAAATTCTGGCCCAGGAAACTCAGAGAGACGAGTACTCGGAGGAGGCGAATCGACGCATGAGTCAGGCCACGCAGCTGTACGCTGAGGCTATCAATGCTTTGGACTACGCGCTGCATCCGGAACGCCAACCGGACCGAGAGCCATCTCCAAAGCCATTACTTCTTGGCGTCAAGAAAGGAAGTGCGAATATGCCCAAAAGTGAGTGGATTTGAGCAAAATATTTGAAAAAAGTTTTGGGTAACGCCAGACTGACGGAAGGAAGGCAGTTTGAAGACGTGACGGAAAAAAAATGGGTGACAAATTGGACGGTGGAGGTGTAGGCGGTGTATATCAAGATTTTCTTCGCCAAGTGGAGGACGTAGCAGTAGTTTGGTATAAAAGGCGACGGCGATATTTTATTTTTTTTTTGGAAAGTACTTAGGAAGAGCACTAATTACAGTAGTAAGAGAGTATGAACGGTGAATAGCAAGCGATAAAGCTACGTGTATTGGCAATCTCTAAGAAGATCGAGAGAATGCAACAAAGTGGGGGTCTTCTAGTGGATGAGTCTCCACACGAACGTAGCCGTCAAACGTCAACTTGTCCGTCTTCATCTCGGCAAACGTTTGACGTTGGATCTTGACGTCAAACGGCAAGTAGCTACAATACACAACAGTGGTATTATAAATATAAATCCAAGAAT